AGGAGTACGCACGTCTTTGAATTGGACGAGACCGAGATCTCCAAGGTAAGAGACGGTAAGATGAGCCGATTCCATGGGAACAATGAGTTGAAGAAGTTGCATCGGCTCTGATCGCATCAGATCCATCGGCGGACAACAACCACCACCACCGCCGCCGCTTTCAGCCATCGTTTCTACTTTCTCCGTCGATTCGATGAGAGGAGAAATTGAAGAAATATGACGATAATGTCAGAGATGAGGCAAATACAGAGAGAGAGCTGTAATTATTTGTCCCCCCACCGCGTACAGTATTTGCCCCTCTGACTCCCTGAAATTACAATTTTGCCCTTTCTTAAGATTATAGAACGGATTGCATAAACCGGATTTAACCAAACCAGAACTGATCGTATAAACCAAAATACAATATGTCCAATTACATTTGTCAACTTTGGTTTGGACATGAGATACCATAGCCAAAAATCACAATTAACACAAAACACAGTCAATGATTAGGGAGTAATCTCATTTATTACGTTTTTTACCAGACCCTGACCTTCCAAGAAAAAAGTATAATCATAACTGATTATGATAGTACAAACGATATCATCAAATTTCAGAAAGTTGTACAAACGATATCATCAAATTTCATAATCAATCTGAATCTTCTATGTTCATATTGTTTTCAGAATTATGCAATAATCATATTGTCTTCTATGTTCATATTGTTTTCAAAATATTCAATTTTTGTTTTTAGAACTAAGCAATTTAACACTTGAGATTATTTAATTAATTACAAAATTTATACATAGTAAAAAATAAATTAAAATTACAAACTTGGAGTGCTACATTCCCGTACATTACAATATGAAGTCAAATCAAAACTTATGACACCTCTCACTAAAAGAAAAAATATTTAAAATTCTGAAACCATCAAAATAATCGGTGTAAATAAATTTAAAAAACTCAATGATTAAAATAAATTTTCATAACCTTGAGTATTATAAATTTTCACCAAATAAATTTTAAAAAAGTTTTCACAACTATGTAATTTTAACACTCAAGTTTATGAAAATTAAAATCTAAAAAACGTAAAATATTTGGTGAAAAAATAATATTTTTATATATTTAAAAGGTTTTTTTAATGAAAAATAAATATGAATTGTGAGTATTAAATTTACATTATATTGTGTTAACACAACGAATTTAACACAACTAACGACCAAAGAGAAAGTCAATGATAGGATCCTACCTCCAAATGATCTTCATAAATAAGTAATTTTAATACCCACATTTCTTTAACTAAAAATCTAACATATTCGGTGAAAACAAAAGCTATATAGTCAAATAAATTTTAAAAACTCAATGAAAAAAACAATTTATCAAAGTTTGTTGATTAAAAATGCGGAAAAAAACCTAAAATATTCAGTGAAATCTTTTTGTCAAATCAGTTTTAATTTTTTGAAAACATCATTAAAAAAAAAAAATTAGTGAGAGGCTGTTATGATAAATAGAACACGTACCAAATCTTCAAGGTACAAATTGTCCTTGGATCTTTGATCTCTTTGTTGGTGAAGCTTTAAAATAATTCTTCGTAAAATGGAACAAAACAAAAATACAGAGAATCAAATATAGACATTTATTAATCTAATAAAGTATCGTGATTCATAGATCATACTTTAAATTGCAAGAGAATTAATTGAAACTTACATGGATCTTTAATCTCTTTGTTGGGTTTGTTGCTATTTGACATATAAATCTCCCTGCTACTGCCATTCCACAGTACATTCATGATACAATCACACACAAAAGTCTCAAGTTTCGAAATCAAGAAAGAAATTTTGATCTTTGATTCTTTAAAATTGGTGCAAGATCACTCACCGATTCCATAACTTAACCTAACAATACCACCGATCTTCATCGCCGCCGCTTCCACCGACCAATTCACCGACACTGAAATCTCCGTGTCGTTAGACAAATCTCGATTTCTCTAACGAAAGACCATCTAATCGTGACGTTTCTATTCCGGTTACGTTTCGCCGAAGATTCGAGAAGTCTAGAAGACTAGAACTACAATTACTACTCCTAAACCCACCGTTTCCACTACTCTAAGACGAAGAGAAAGCGACTCTAGTTGAACTACAAGACAACAAAGGAAGACCCATTTATTTTATATTGTGACAAAGCTCTCAGGCGAAGTTATCGGAATACCGCCGGTAATCTCGCCGGAGAGACTCTGTTCTCTACATAGTGAAAGAGAGAGACTCTGTTTTTCTCAGTATTTATAGACTTTCTTTTGTTAATTAAATTTATTATTAACGGCTAGTTGAGTCTGGCCAATCTTCTGGATATTTGGATATTAACAGAGGAGACACTAGGGTGAAAATCTTAAGTGTCGAGTTTTAAGGAATTCATTTTCTAATAAAAATTATTAAAAAATTTTAACAACAAATATATAGAAATAATGAATATGTTGTAATTAATATAGAGAAAAATATTTAAAAATATCTTATTTTTTTTTCAATAATACTAAATTTTTTTATCCGAGTCAAAAGTGGTATTAAAATATTCAAAAACAATCAGGATTATTTTTAATAGATAGGAGAAATGAAAAATAACAAAGATAAAATATATTTATGTTTGATCAAAAATTAGCTTTATTATATGTATGCACAATACATATCATTTTTATGTGTTTATAAATGTTAGAATACACGTCTAAATATTAAATTAGATTAAAAACATATTTAATTATCTAATCTCACGCTTAGCGTGGATCAAAATCTAGTGTACATTAATCTTATTGATATTTTGTTTGGTAGATTTTGCACCACAATGTAATACTTATATTATATGGGTGGATTTTGTAAATCGAATAATTTTATATTTAGGTTAATGACCAAGTAACAAAGATTGAACTTCTATATAAAGTGATA